ACATGATTACAATGAGTCAATTTACACAATTGGATTGGCTCTAGGACACCTACTCTAATAGTGACTTGTTATTACTGCTTTAGAATAAGTGTTATCATTTGTATTGTATTATGTAAGAGTCGTAATCCTAATATAAATTATGTTTTTTTGTAAACTTTTTCTTTTTTGGATAACTATTCCTTATAGGAAAGTGATGTCTCCCAAGGTGAAGAAAGATCCAAATATGCGCTGGACCCAATCAATGGATGATACTCTCATTGATGCCTATTTGCATGAGCATGTGCAAGGAAACAGGGTGGGAGGGACCTTCACATCATAAGCCCATGACCAAATATTGCAAACAATGAAGAAAGAGTTTCCAAATATCGTATGGGAGAAAGAAAAGATCCAAATCACATGAAACTTATCAAGAAATCATGGGCATCTTGTCACGATATTTTTAAGGATGGATTGAGTGGTTTTGCATATGATCAAACAACTTTGACATGGCATGTTGAACTAGAAGTGTGGGACAAACTTATCGAGGTGGGCTCATGTTTAATTGTTTACATACACTTTAAATATGCTTGTTGGAGAAATTATATTGTTACTTACAATGTGTGTATTTTTATATAGTCAAATCCTAGTGCTGTTGAATGAAGGAGCAAGCCTGTATATAACTACGACAAGGTATGTGAGCTCTTTGCAAAAGATAGGGCAAATGGGGAAGATGGTGACTCCCTTAGGGAGATGAAGAGAAAAAGAACTTATTTATATCAAAACAATGTAAAATGCCCTAATTCGGTTGAGGACATTGATAACATGGTAACACAAAATCAAGCTTCATTGAATGTTGTCAATGATGAAGGAAGTGAGAATGACTCAACTTCTCCGGGTTGCCAATTCGAAGTTTCATCACGCAAGTTGAAGAACAGACACAAGGTTAAAGAGGACAGCAATCCTATAAAGGAGGCTATTCATGCAGTGGATAGGGCAACACATTACCTAGGTGAGGTGTCACTGTTGTGTGCTAATAAATCTTCTTTGAAGGACAATGAATTGTTGGAGCATTTAGTTGAGATTGGGATCGAAGATGATGGTGAGTTGCTACGTGCTCAAACTTTCCTTCTTGAAAATCCCACAAAGCTATGTGTATTTTACTCGTTTCCAGCACATCGTCGCAAGAGTATCTTAATGAAAATGCTTGAAAATGCAGCAACTTAATTCCTTTACCAAGGTAAATCCTACAACAGCTGCTAGTTTTTTTTACTATTTGGCTTGAAGAAACTTAAGAAGTTACTTTCAGGTACATATTTTAGATTTACTAAGTTTTTGTTGTTGCTTTTCATCAGTGATAACCACTTATAACAGTTCCAAGGGCTGCTCACTTATGTATAAAAGTGTATGAAAACTAGAATACTTGTTTATTAAGTATATTGACTTTATGTGATTTAGTTGATGCAGATCCAACCATATTAAATATAAAATAATTTTAAGCAATCATAAAAAAAAAAAAAATTATTAAAATCTCAATTCTAGATGCTTTCTTGGAGAAGTGGAGCTACAATTTTTTAATCATTTCAGATGCTGCAAAGAATGGCGAAGAAGGATAAGGAGACTTTATCACATTTGAAGTTATAAAATACTAATAAGAACAAATAAAGAACCCTTATCTTGTAATTGAAAAAACAAAACTCCCAAGTACTAGTTGAAGGTGAGGTATTTTTATGGGCATATATGTAAATTTATCATTTTAAAAAATTGTTAGAACCACTGGAAAATAAACTCTCAAGCGCAGGTTGGGTGTTTTAAAAACCGCTACTAAAAACTCCTCAAAATCGTCACAGTGGTTTACCCTCATAACCGCTACCATGAAACTCCCAAGCAAACCCTTAAATATGAATGAAATTAACTAGTAAAGATAAGAGCTTGAATTACGATATTAAGGAGAACAACAGTTTAAAGTGAAGAAACCAGGGTTCTTGTTAATTGTCAACCATCTCACTTACTGAATTTTTGGTTGTTCCTTGTTTACATGATAACGCTGATGTTTGGACTCTGGGACCACCTTATTCTAGGTTGGGATAAAGTATAAATTTTTGCATTTTTTTTTTTTATTTTAGTAAAAACATTCTACTTATCCCACACGCATGCCCACTCTAAAATCATCTTGAAAGGACTAGTGTATTTTATTGAGCAAACAACATATTCCCACTCGACGTTTGGTAATCCCAAGTTGGTATCCCTGGTTGTATTTATTCCAGATTCCCACCCTTAAAGTAACACCCTTAGCGATTTTTAGGTTCAAAGAGTGCTATTACCATAATGCCCTTAACAAATAAATTAATAGATTACATTTTAACCCCAAAATTAGTAGAATAATAAAATTAACCATCTTACTTTCAAATTATTTCAATAACACCGTCGGCAACTACGTACCCTCTCAGTTTTTGCCCAATCTGGGCTGTTTCCGACAGATTTGAACCACCCTGTCACCTCCATCATCTTCCCCATGGTCCATACTCCAAAACCCCCTATTTCCCGACTCATTGACCCTTCCGATCGTCGGCGCCACTAGGTTTACGATTTTGTTGTTCTTCATCAGATTCTACCGACAAAAATCCAATTGGACACCACCACTGCAAGTTGCAACCAACCGGGGGGGGGGGGGGGGGGGGGGGGGGGGGGGGGGGGGGGGGGGGGGGGGGGAGGAGGAGGAAGTCAAACGGTGGTGGTGGTTGGGGTTGTTGCCGCTCAAAACGGTCGAAAACCAGCAAAAACCTGTCGCATGACGTAGTTGCCATGGCCGGCGATTGGCGAGTGATGAGGGGTTGTGAAGGGTAAGGTGCTAAAATGTGTCAAAGCACTATTAGAGGCGGCAAACTGCTAACATGCGTCACCTCTTGCAAAATGACTCCTTTACCCTTTGACTATTACATTACAAAATTTTATGTTACTTTAAGGGTATAAATTTTGGATAAATGCAACCAAAGGTACCAACTTGGGATTTCGCCAAACCACAGGTGGGAATATGTCGTTTGCTCGATTTTATTTTTGCCAACGCTTAGTCAGGTTTCTGATTCCACGGATCCAAATGCAAGAGTATACTAATTTGTAATTTTTCAAACTATAAAAGGTCTTTTGTGATTATCGCTACTTTCAAAGAATTACTACATCTTTGAGGTTGGGGAAGAGTTTAAGGACGTCAGAGAAACATATTGTATATAGCCATATAAATAAATAAATAAAAACCATGGCATCAATTATGATAAATGTCAAATTTTCTTATCGGAGAGAATGATAATATCCATACAATATTTTATTATTTTGATGTCTTCCAGCATTTGCAAGGGAAACCAAGATTCCATTTATTATTTATTCTTCATATTTCAATCTGTCAATTGGGTGACAAAAATAAACATAAGATATAGTTTAAATTCAATTATCTTGAACTTAGACAAACAGAATTATATCGTTGATGTGTGACTTTTACACCAACTAAACGCATGTGTGAAATGCTGAGCTGGCCCAGAAGACACACGTGAATATAAAGGATAATGAGAGTAAATGCAATGAGACAAGCGTTTTTAAAGTGATTCGGATGCTAAAGAAGCAAGTCATACGTCCACTGTTATATTATTAATGATAGAGGTCAGGTCGCATGAGCTGACTGACTTACAAATGATGGTACAAGAAAGAGAAACCTTTCGTATTACAGAGAGAATAGCTAATCAAGCGTAAAATGTGTGAATCCCTTGAATGAGAGAGGAGCTCTAAATTTATAGTGGGATGGATTAAGGCAATCATTACTGAATCTGTGAGTTGATGAGATTATCCGTGCAAATCATTCTTTATGTCACATTGCCCACCTTCTATAGTGATTTGTGCGATTTGGCGTAGGGATTGGACACGTGGGATCATCACAGCTCCTGATAGGTCTAGCGCGTACCCACTATCCTGACAGAAACAGGCTGCGGGTGAACTCATGTTCTGACTTTTATACGCTGACTGGACCATACGTTAGCTCTATATTTTTCGGGCATAACACTATCATATAACACTAGCTAGTCTATACACAAGGTGCTGTTATTATCATTATTATTGTACTTCACAAAGCACTTAGATAAGCATAAATACGATTATGACTATGAAAAGCATAAAAATTAACTTATCATATTTTTATTTTATTTTTTGTGGGAAAGTAATGAGATTCTGAGATTCCATCCATCAGCATCTTACAACTGTCAGATAAAAACATGGAAGTCTGGTCCTCCCATTGGATGGTTATGATCCTCTCCATTTTCACTAAGTACATAAGCATCACCTTTCATCTAAATTTGTTGCAATATGCTTTGAATTCATCGTTAAAAGAAGGTTTTATTGTTGTAGTTAAAAAGAGTACAATGACCTTCACATAGTTGCATTCACCAATCATTATTCACAAGGTCTTACTCTTATCATGTTTATAATTCTATTGTTTGACGTTTCATTATCCTTCTTTCACACTCCAAATTCATTGGTATCATTTCTTCATCTCAATGTACTTAACCAAGGCTTTTATTGGTTTCCCTTGATAATTAATGGGAAATTATCTAAGGAAAAACGCTCTAGATCCCAATAATCAACCACTTGACGTTGCTAAACCTCTAGCTGGTTTGTCTTGATTTTATTTCTTTTACTTTATACCTCAAATGTTACAGGCATATGATTTATCTTAATTATAATTAGGAGTGCCTCCTCCCAGAAAAACTTGTACAACTCAACAAAATAAAGGGCCTTCACATATTTTACAAGGTATCAGTATTTTATTTCTCTTTTAGATAACAATGTTTTCAGCTTCCATTCATTAGCTAGCTTATGTTACTTTACATTCCATGCTGCAGAAATTCGTATTAAACATGAAAGATGCGATTACCACCACCGAGAGTGGAGACATTCAAAATCACATGGAGGTATAAATTAATTATTGTAATCGGATTTGTTTATTTCCCTTCCGTTGATCATGTGTTGTTTGTGCAGAAAATGATAATATTTACATAAACCAAAGTTTGCCAAGCAATCCTAGAGATATTCCTGCAAAGATGGACGGTGTTTATCGTGCTCGCAGGCTAAAATGTTTTTGCCATAAATTATTGGAGGCTGCTACTCGCAAATTTAGCAAAAAGAATATCATTGGTGAAGGCGGTTTTGGTGAAGTTTATATAGGATACATCAATTCTTGGACAATGACTCCTGCAAAAAGAAAAGATGGAGTTGCAATTGCTGTCAAGAAACTGAGAAGGAAAGGATCTCAAGGCCAAAATGAATGGGAGGTGAGACTTTTTATATGATTCTCAATCTCTTTATATATGATTCTCAATGCTAATATATGTGTTTGTTGCGAATTGTCGATTCCTGCAGAATGAATTGGATTTTTTGAGTAGATTAAATCATCCTAATGTAGTCGAGCTCATTGGATATTGCTCTGAAGGTGAAGATAGAATGTTGGTTTATGAGTACATGACTGAAGGAAATTTGGAGGATCATCTCTTGAGCGGTAAGTCATGCAGGCCAACAAAAAATTTTAGGATATGTACCAATGACATGAAATCAAATGACTTGAGAAATTGACACAATTCATGTAGCAGAAAATGATAGTGTGCTAAACTGGAATCAAAGAATCAAAATAGCATTGGGCGCAGCCAGGGGATTAGAATACCTTCATACTCATTGGACACCAATCATTCATCGTGATGTCAAAGCTTCAAATGTCCTGCTTGATGATGTGAGTTCTTTTTCTTTGTAATTTCTACAATGCTTTTGAAAGATGTGTTCGTTTTATTGACATTATACTTGAATCCTCGCTGTACCAACGTGTTCATTTTGTAACTATCGTCCGCAATAAGAAAATATTGCAGGATTTCAAAGCCAAACTATCAGATTTTGGACTAGCTAGGTTTGGACCCCTAGGTGAGAGGTCCCATATCTCCACACGGGTACTTGGCACCAAAGGATACTTCGCTCCTGAATACATTGCAACAGGTAATGTATTCATTTTATATCACATCTTGTGCGTAATGACGTAGAAGGAAAATAACTCTGTTGTGGCTGATTCATATATCTCTGTTTTACAGGACGATTGACTGTAAAAACTGATGTTTATAGCTTCGGTGTGGTACTGCTAGAGATCCTCTTGGGCAAAGATGCAGTGAAGAAATATCCCAATGGTTTGGCAGGGATGTGGGCAAAGCCATATCTTAGCAACAAGCAGGAACTGTGTCGAGTTGTTGATGAGAGACTAGGGAAGAACATCCGGATGGAAGAAGCTCAAGAGTTCGCCCAAATTATCCTCAGATGCCTTAGTTTAGAACCAAAGACACGGCCAACAATGACACAGGTTGTAGCTTATCTAGAGCAACTAGAGCTACATATGGGCGGCAATCAGGACTTCCTCAGGCTATCTCATGCAAAAAAAAAGCCTCCTCTTTGAACACTTCACCTAGAAGTCTTGTCAGCTTACTTTGCTAAGTTCAATATTTCCTATTCTAATTCACTTCATGTATTTTTCTCATGCTCTTCGTTTAATCATGTCATGTCATCTGAAAATAGAACCCAATATTCACTGTATGTAATCTATTTCCAAAGATGCAGACTCTACGATTTAAGGGAAATGTACACAAACAAAAATGTTCTACCCAAGTTCCAAGCAAGCACTACATATCATCAGAAAAATTCAGGTTTTAATTATTCATTCAGTACAATTCATTCAAAATTTTGCATCAAAAAATACACACTCATGTTACATCAATATTAACAAATATGGAAGCATACAAGAAATTTACAAGTAGTGTGGTCCTCAGTTCAGCGTAATCGTGGAGATTGCCGGTGATTTGGCAATGGAGAAGCATTGGGAGTCAGATGGAGCGGAGAACGTTGTTGTCTCATGGGTGACCTGTGGACTGGAACTGGGACCCTCTGCTGCTCAGACTGAGAGAGTCTAGTTGCATTGTTGGGGGCTTCAAGTCGCTCCAATGTTGCTAAAACCTCAGACATCCGAGGCCTTAGTTTAGCTTCAGTATTTAGGCACTGTAAGGCAAGGGTAGCAGCTGTATACGCTCCTTTCTGTGGGTATTGGCCCCCTAACTTAGTATCCATAATCCGAAATAATTTTCGTTTGTCAGACAAATATGGTTTTGCCCAGTCTACAAGATTCTGCTCAACACCAATTTTTGTTTTATCAACAGCACATCGTCCAGATAATAGTTCAAGCAATACGACTCCAAAGCTATACACATCACTTTTAGCCGTAAGCCGACCTGTTCAACAATGAAGATGAATTACATATTTAATTTTGATAACACAAAATACACAAAGCAAGTATTCAGACAACAGTGGCAATTCTACATCTTAAAAAATAAAAACACTGCATATACAAGAAACAATCTAATAATGCCAAAAAAAAAAAAAAAAAACCATAGAATGGAACCATACGTTCCTAGCATGTAGTCTTACTGATCATTTCATTGAAAGAGGAATCCAGAAAAGAAGAATGGAAAACAACTAGCTGATTAAATGTTGGCACACAAAATGCACAATTTACTAGGTTCAACCTCAATGCAAATTTACTTTGAAGAAAACACAAAAATATCAAATGCCTGCCCAACTTTATCATGAGACTGATTAATGTTATGTAACAAGACCCAACAAGAGGAAATCAATAACAATATAGATCTACAAGCTTCATTTAGAAAACAATGTTGTTGTAGATAATCATGCAAAATCTTACAGATATTGCATGATTAAGTGTATAAATCTATAATAGGATATTAGGATTGTAATCAATATATATTAAGAACAAATCTGTAAAATAGGAAGTTAGATTATTCATTTCCTAGATTAGATTATTTGTTTCTTAAATTAGTTCTTTATTTTCCTATATATTGATGTATAATTTATCAATACAAATAATAAGAATTACAATTAGTTCTGTGTTTTTCACATAGTATCAGAGCAATTCTAGATTGTTTTTCAATTTCATTTTCTTTTTCTCTGCCCAAGTGAGCATTATTTGTTAGTCACCCTGGAGAGTGGCCTTTTTTTTTCTCACCACCTGCCTAGGAAGAAGCCCCTCCTACCGATTGACCATTCCCTGAAGTCCGATCACTGGAGGAGCAGCGCGTGAGTCTCACGCACTACCTTTTTCATCTGCGGCAGTCTTCACATGCTAGCGCGTGGGGGCGCGTGTAACAGAGTACAGTGTTCTGATCATCCTTCCCGACTTCATCTTGATATTTCCGACAAGTCTGTATGATCAGTTCCTCAGTATCTCAGCCAGGTCAGATAAGTTTTGTTGATTTCTGTTGGTATCAGATTTCGTTCTTTGAAGAGTTTTGTTGGCTATTTGTGTTAAGGTCAGTTTGTTGATTTTTGTCTGTAAGTTGTGTTGGCTATTTGTGTTGAGATCAATTTTTCGTCTTCTTACCATGGCTGATAAGCTTATAACTGATATGGTTCCTGTAATGTCAAAAATTACGAAACATAAGCTTAATGGGTCTGATAACTATTTTGATTGGAGTAAGACAATTCATCTCTACCTGCGAAGCATTGGTAAAGATGATCATCTCACAAAAGATCCGTCTGAAGACGATTCAAAACAAACATGGTTGAGAGAGGATGCCTGGTTGTTCTTGCAGATACAGAACTCCATCAACAGTGAGGTACTTGATTTAATTAATCATTGTGAATATGTGAAAGAGTTGATGGACTATCTAGATTTTTTGTACTCTGGGAAAGGGAATGTTTCTCGTATTTTTTATTGTATGCAAAGCCTTTTATTGAGCTGAGAAACAAGATAGGTCTCTTGCGGCCTATTTTATGGACTTTAAAAGGATATATAAAGAACTTAACGTCCTTCTACCGGTGAGTGTTGATGTGAAAGTTCAACAAGCTCAACGAGAGAAAATGGCGGTTATGAGTTTCCTAGTTGGACTCCCTTCTGAGTTTGAATCTGCTAAATCTCAGGTTCTCGCCAGTTCTGAGATCACCTTCCTCCAAGACGAATTTATTAGGGTTCTTCGTACAGAAAGCACTTCATCTGTTCAGTCGAGTAGTGCTCTTGTAAGTCAGAATAATGACACCAGACGTTCATATAACAGGAGCAATAATAGAGGAGGAGGTTCAAAAAATCGTGATAATCGGAGTCAGGAGTTAGGAGGGATTGTGTGCTACTACTGTCATGAACCCGGTCATACAAAGCGCACGTGTAGAAAGTTGCAAAATGAGACCCAAAAAACTCAGTCAACTCATGTTGCCGCTATCGATACTTCTAAGAAGACGGTTATGATTTCAACTGATGAGTTTGCCAAGTTTTCTCAGTATCAAGAATCATTGAAGTCCTCATCTACTTCCATCACTGCTCTCGCCGAGTCAGGTAAACCAAATACATGTCTTATTTCCTCATTCTCCAAGTGGGTCATTGATTCTGGTGCCACAGATCATATGACAGGTAATCCTAGTCTCTTTTCAACATATCAGTCACATAATTCCTCGTCTAATGTTACTTTAGCTGATGGGTCAACTTTTTGTGTTCTTGGGTCTGGGTCTGTTAACCATACTCCGTTAATTTCCCTATCATCTGTATTGAGTCTACCACAGTTCGCTTTTAATTTAATTTCTGTGAGTAAACTCACTCGTGCTCTTAAATGTTGCATCTCATTTTTCCCTGATCATTGCCTGTTTCTGGATCTTATGACGATGCAGATTATTTGTAAAGGACATGAATTTGGATGGTTTTACATCCTTGACACACAGGTGCCCAGAACCATTGCATGTTCCAGTATTTCGACCCCTTTTGAGGTACATTGTCGGTTAGGACATCCTTCTTTACCATTGTTAAAAAAATTATGTCATCAATTTAATAATTTATCTTCGTTAGATTGTGAGTCATGTCAATTTGCCAAACATCACCATCTTCCTTCAAGTCCAAGAGTCAATAAACAGGCTAGTGTCCATTTTGAATTAGTTCATTCAGATGTTTGGGGTCCGTGTTCTATTATGTCTAAACCTAGATTTAAATATTTTGTTACTTTTATTAATGACAACTCTCGTGTAACTTGGCTTTATTTAATGAAAAATCGTTCCGAGTTTTTTTTCTTATTTTTGTGTCTTTTGTGCTGAAGTTAAAACTCAATTTAATATTTATGTGCAGACATTAAGAAGCGATAATGCCAAAGAATATTTTTTGAGTTTTTTTCAGTCTTATATGAGTCAACATGGCATTCTTCATCAATCCTCTTGTGTTGACACACCGTCCCAAAATGAAGTAGCCGAGAGGAAAAATAGGCATCCTCTTGAAACCGCCTGAGCCCTATTATTTCAAATGCAAATTCCTAAACAGTTTTGGGCCGATACAGTTTCCACGGCTTGTTTTCTAATTAGCCTTCATCTATTCTGAATAGTTCCACTACTTACAGTGTCCTCTTCCGGTCTAAGCCTTTGTTTCTTATTGCACCAAAGATATTTGGTAATACTCGTTTTGTTCATGATGTTCCAGGTAACCAAGTTAAATCCCAAATCTCTTAAATGTGTTTTTCTAAGTTACTCTCACCTTCATAAGGGATATCGATGGTATTGTCCTAGTCTTAATATATATCTGGTGTCACTAGATGTTACTTTCTTAGAAAACACTCTTTTTTTTCCTACTTTGTCTACCTATACAAGTCAGGGGGAGGACGATGACTTACTAATCTACACTGCCACATCCCTACCAGCTACTCCTACACCTGAAGCTTCCCCACCTACTGTTCCTCCTCCAGCACCACCTCCTGTCCGTCCACTACCTCCAATTCGCATTGTCTATTCTCGTCGACAGGAACCTCCTGTACCAGTCTCTTCGTCGTCAGATCCAATCTCCAGTGATCCCGATACCTGTGTTCCTCGTCAAGAAGACCCTCAGAATTCATGTCCTACCCAAGACTCTAAGTCGTTGGATCCAGCCTTAAGTGATCTTGATCTTCCTATTGCTCTTCAAAAAGGTAAACGTCAGTGTACTTATCTTATCTCTTCATTTGTTTCTTATGATCACCTATCATCTTCTTCTTGTTCTTTTACGGCATCACTAGACTCTGTCTCCCTTTCTACAACTGTTCATAAAGCCTTACCTCATCCTGGCTGGCGTGATGCTATGATAGAAGAGATGAATGCTTTAAATATTAATGGTACTTGGACCTTGGTTGACTTACCTATTGAAAAGAGACCTATTGGATGCAAATGGGTGTTTGCTGTTAAAGTAAATCATGATGGGTCAGTGGCTATGCTTAAAGCTCATCTTGTAGCTAAAGGTTATGCTCAAACTAATGGAGTGTATTATTCTGACACTTTTTCTCATGTGGCTAAATTAACTTCTGTTCGCTTATTTATCGTTATGGCGGTTTATATGGTGACCTTCAAGAAGAAGTCTACATGGAGCAACCACCTGGGTTTGTTGCTCAAGGGGAGTATGGGAAAGTTTGTCATCTTCACAAATCGTTGTATGGTTTGAAACAGAGTCCACGTGCTTGGTTTGGAAAGTTCAGTCAGGTAGTTGAAAAGTTCGGAATGACAAAGAGCAAGTCTGATTACTCAGTCTTTTGCAAACAATCAGCAATTGGCATTATTCTTCTTATCGTATATGTTGACAACATTATCATCACTGGAAGTGACACTGTAGAGATTTCATTATTTAAGTCCTTTCTTCAAACCCAATTTCATACAAAAGATTTAGGAGTGTTAAAATATTTCTTGGGGGTTGAGGTAACAAGGAGCAACAAATGCATCTTTTTCTCTCAAAGGAAATATGTACTTGACTTATTAACTGAGACGGAAAAATTGGGAGTTAGGCCATGCAGTACGCCAATGTTTCCTCATTTGCAACTTACCAAAGATGGTGAACTATTTGAAGATCCTAAGAGGTACAGAAGACTGATTGAAAAGTTGAAGTATCTAACAGTCATTTGTCCTGATATTGCGTACTCTGTCAATGTAGTAAGTCAATTCATGTCTTCTCCTACGGTTGAACATTGGGCAACGTTAAAGCTGATTGTGTGTTATCTGAAAAGAGCTCCAGGACGTGGTATTTTGTACGGAAATCATGGACATAATAATATTGAGTGCTTCTTTGATGCAGATTGGGCGAGTTCCAAGATAGATAAGAGATCCACTACAGGCTACTGTGTTTTTGTTGGTGGAAATTTGGTCTCATGGAAAAGTAAGAAGTAAACTGTTGTGTCCCCATCTAGTGCAAAATCGAAATATAAGGCTATGACCCAGTCTGTGTATGAAGTAATATGGATATATCGGTTTTTTACTGAAGTTGGTCTTATGGCCTCTTTGCCAGTGAAATTGTAGTGTGATAACCAAGCTGCTCTTCATATTGCTTCTAATCTTGTATTTCATGAACGAACTAAGCACATTAAAATTGACTGTCATTTCATTCGTGAGAAAATACAGTAAGGTTTAATCTCTACAGGATATATGAAGACTGGCGAACAACTAGGAGATGTTTTCACTAAAGCTTTGAATGGGGTTCGAATTGATTATATTTGTAACAAGCTGGGCATGATTAACATATATGCTTCATCTTGAGGGAAAGTGTTATAGATAATCATACAAAATCTTACAGATACTGCATGATTAAGTGTATAAATCTATAATCGGATATTAGGATTGTAGTCAATATATATTAAGAACAAATTTGTAAAATAGGAAGTTAGATTATTCATTTCTGTTAGGATCCCACATTGAAAGGGAAAAGGGTAGGTATATGGGTTATAAAGGCTTGGGTACCCTCCCTTGGCAAGCCGATTTTCCAAGGAGAGTTCTACCCAAGCCCATAAAAGACCCATGGCCCAGCCCAAATTGTTGAGTTATTGGAGTATGTTTCTATCAATTGGTATCAAAGTCAAGGTTGGGGAATGGTAAAAGCGGAAATGGAGACTAGAATGGGAAATGTGGAAAAAGATATGAGATCGATGAAGGAAGATTTGGGAACGATCAGAGAGTGCTTAAAGGAAATGCTAGCATGGATAAGGCGAAAAGATGAGTAGGAAACCAAAGGAGTTAAGAGGGATGGGTCAACGGAAATACCGGTGAAACAGAATTGAAACCAAGGGGAAGAGAACAGTGAACCCAATGCAAACCAGAACGGCAAACCATAGTTACTGAACGAAATCGACTAGAGTCCGGTGGCCGGAGAATCAAAATACCGATATTCATGGGGAAGGATCTGTACGTTTGGTTATTCAGGATAGAAAGGTATTTTAAGGTGTATCAGGTGGCTAAGAACGAAAGGATGAACACGGTGGTGGTATGTATAGAGGGAGATGCAATAAATGGGTTCCAATGGATGGAAATCAAAGCTCTGGTAACGATGTAGCCGACTTTTAAGCTTGATCTTCCTCATAGATTTGGTGGGTCAGAAGAGGGAAGGCCTTATGAAGCTTTGATGGAAATCTGACAGACTGACACGGTAGGGGAATATCGTTGGAGATTTGAAGCTTTGTCTGCACCTTTGTGTGAAGAAAGAGAAGAAATATTGTGGGTTGCTATTATCAATGGGCTCAAACAAGATATTAAGGCTGAAGTGAGATTGAGTCAGCCCTATTCATTGCTACAGTTTATTGAGTTAGCCCAGAAAATAGAGGAAAAGAATTGGGTTTTAGAAGAAATGAAGTTTGGGCTTAATAGAGTTGTTAAACCAGTTGGGATGTATGAGTTTAATAGAGGAATTATTTCAGTTGGGCTGGGTAAACAAGGGATAGCAAATACAATTGAGTGTGGGCTTGAGCAATATGATAATAGACTGGGCAAAGGTTTTAATGCAGCTAGGTTTGGGCTGGGTAGAGACACTGGGTCAATGGAAAACGAATCAAGGGTCCAATCAAATTTAAATCAGATTGCAAATAACTCCAAGCCACATCCCTTCATCAATCAGCCGAGATATTCCGGCAACTCTTTGCCGATGCGCCAAACTTGGGAAGAGGCACCATCTGGTGCAACGATAGCCTCTAGTTATCAAAGCCCGAGTACCACACCAAATCCACCGGACGATCACAACTTCTATCCACGGCGAACAGCTCCTTTCTCGTAAATGACAGAAATCGATGTACTTAGAGGGGCAAATATTTGTGTCATAATGTGCTTAAGATGGGGATACCATGTATGTTTTGATGATTTTTTCATATCGAGTGAATCCTTGAAGTTGGGTGATGGTTTAGCAACCATTGATGAACAAAACCCTTTCTTCTTCTACAGTGCAAAGGTGATTAAAAGGGATAGTCGCATGCTCACAACGTCTGTAGGTAAGAACACAACATGGGGGAAGACGATAAACCAAATTACTATCGCTTCCAACCAGACCCCATTACCAGCTCAACTTGACAAGGAAAAGCATCATCCTGGGGTGCCAGACATTAAAAATAAAACTTTTAGCAAGGAATTAATGGAGTCTATCAAGAAGTTTATCATCAGACCAAGTGGTAAGGAAGTTTGGATTGGCAAAACACTTATCAATGAAAATTCGACACTAAATGAGCATGTTATTGACACTCTGTGCAAAGGAATCATCGCACCGTTTATAATGCCACAGGGTCTTGGTAGCTCAAATGAGGATTGGCTCCTTTCTTAGGCTACATTGAAGCTGGAAGCAGAAAATGAGACTTTTAAGCAAATTTTTGTTATTGGACACTTCCCCCCTACTGATCAGCGCCTTCTTATTCAATGTTTGAAGTAGGAAGGCCACATGGTGGCGATGGTTGGAGTCAAAATAAATGAGACTCCAACACTAAACGAAGCTAATAAGGGGATTGCTATGGGCACTTGAAGTGAAATGGCCAGAGAGAGTTTCGGAAATTATCATTTTGGATAGCGATTTCAATTCCTTGGTTACCAGTTTTAGCTGTGGAAGATGTGCTTACGATAATATCCAAAGGCATATCCGACTTGAGATCACCATTGTTATTGTAGGGTTACTGATAGCCATTATCACAACAGCTGACTTTAAGGATACCTCAATTATAGCAAAATTCCCATCTCCCCACCTTGAGGACAAGGTGGTTCTTCAAGGGGAGGGTTTTGATAAGACCCCAACTCATCCAACTCAAATTTACAAAAGGAATAATAAGGGCAAATGGCATGGTGTGCAAGTAGGAGTTGGTTATCCACGTGACAATTATAATGGAATTGGTGTGACATTTGTGAGTATAAATTGAGGGATAGGAATTTTAAAAGGTAGAGAATATTTTGGTGGGATATTAGAAGGGAGGCCCCTAGCTCCTCGAATTGCTAGGTTATCGTTACATTCAGTATTGTTTTCTTAATCTTTCTTCATTATTGTTGTTATCCATTTCTGTATCAATCAATATAGAGGTATATTCACATTAGTGCTCTCTCAATTGTCTTTGATCTGTGTTGAAATATTGTTCTGTTTGGGTATATTGTACTCTATTTGGGTTGTGTTGAGTGTTAAGAATCCAGGTTCCTATCAATTAGTATCAGATTATTGAGTTATTGGAGCGGGTTCCTATCAATTGGTATCAGAGCATGATCTTACGCCTATGTGGCAACGCACGCGTGACAAGCTGACCTTGGGCCCAAGCTGCTACCCCGAGAAAGGGCATGGAGGCCTGAGGAAAAAAGGATTCGCGTAGTCACCCAAGGGGTAAAGAGGCCGACGAGGATAAAGAAGCCAACGTGGACGTTGGTTGCGGAAGCGTGGTGGAATGTTAGAATCTCACATTGAAAGGGAAAAGGGTGGGCATGTGGGTTATAAAGGCTTGGACACCCTCACTTGACAAGCCGGTTTTCCAAAGAGAGTTCTGTCCAAACCCATGAAAGACCCATGGCCCAACCCAAATTGTTGAGTTATTGGAGTAGATTTCTATCAATTTCCTAGATTAGATTATTTGTTTCCTAGATTAGTTCTTTATTTTCCTATATATTGACATATAATTTATCGATACAAATAATAAGAATTACAATTAGTTCTCTATTTTTCACAAATGTAAATAAAAATAGTATATAACATCGATGTTCTACATACCTGTAGCAACATATTCAGGTGCTGCATAACCATGAGTACCCATAACTTGCGTGGAAACATGAGTTCTATCACCAGTGGGGCCTGCCTTGGCCAAACCAAAATCAGAAAGTTTTGCATTAAATTCCTGCATCCCAAATGCATTGTTATCGCCAGTAATGTGCATAAATCTAATGACGTCACATTATTTACGCAAACTACAGGCAAAGCAACAATAAATTATCCGTTTCAATAAGCATACCGCATCAAGTAGAATATTAGAAGCCTTAAAATCACGATATATAACTTGTGATTTTGCATCATGAAGGAAAGAGAGCCCTCTGGCAGCACCTATGGCCACTTTTATCCTTACTGTCCAAGAAAGCGGCTGGAGTCCTCCTGAAAAAAAAAAAAACATTAAAGGTTAGATCAAGGAGCTTTATAACATCCCAACATTTCATTCCTGAGCTGGTTTTAAGGGAGAATAGCTTTTGTAGAACCTATATTCTTGCAAATATAAGATTTTGTGGAACTTATATTCATGCAAATATAAGCTTTGTAGAACCTCTATTCATGCAAATATAAGCAAGAAAACTCAATAGAAAAATGGAACAGCAGATCCTAGCATAGGGGGTATCTATGGGCAGTGGAATTGTAACCGAGTAAAGCCATATATTTAGTCATTATTTTAATTCCTATGGTCTAATCAATGTCATCCGCAGTTTTCAAAATTCAGATGCATCTCAGATATCTGTATTGAGAAGACAAGCGTGCAAATCTTAAAGCAAACTGAAGCAAATAAGGACATCCAAAAGGTCAAGGATAATCTTGTGCCATTTTGCAAATTGATCCTTCTTTTCTCTCTACACTGTTTTAACAGGGTAATTTTTCCCTTGGTTATGCCTCTTGTATAAATTCATTCCACAAGTAAAAGGAAGATGAAAGTAGCATGAATGACAATAAATACTAAATTTCCACCTTAACCTGTATCTTCTTGCCAAAATGACAGTAATAGAAATTTTTGGTTCTACATTTTTGCTATTTTTTTCATTAGAGTAAACAACTTAATTTAGCCACATAAATTTTATAGAAGAGTAGTCAATTTTCCTGCAAGAAGAACTGCAGAGTAGGAAAGGTCTTTTATTGCTTGTATTTTGGTTCCTTGGCAACTTGAGCATTAAGTAAAACAAATGACCTGTATGGAATAGTGTACAGCAATTTTTCAACATCGTAGAAGGCATTACTTACTTCTGAACAAATGATTTTCTAGGCTCCCTTTGGGCATGAATTCATAGACCAAAAGGCGATTCTCACCCTCCAAGCAATATCCAATTAATTTAACCAGATTTGGATGATGAAGCTGTCCAAGGTAATTAACTTCTGTCTGAAACAAATTGGGAAGCAAAAAATTGTAAGGAAGAGCAGAAAATATCACATAAAAAATAAAAAAATAAAAGGAGAAAAACTTACCAACCACTCCTTGTGGCCTTGGAAACCTTCCGGTTTAAGCTTCTTGACAGCAACAACCATTCCTGATCCAGGCTTAGCAGGTGAAAGTGTGTGCTCATCTATCCATCCTTTAAAAACATAACCAAATCCACCTTCACCAAGAAGACTGTCAGGACGAAAGTTTCTGGTAGCATTCTTGAGCTCATTGAATGTAAAGGCTTTCAAATTTGGAGAAGACAATATTTCACCCTCAGACCTTGGTGTAGGAAGACAGTCAGAATGGCCTTTTTCACTGCAAGATGGGATGGTTAGAGTGGAAGGAGTAGAAGAACGGCTGAATTTACTGGAAATCCTTGAGGCTCCTGATTCCAGAAGAGAAACGTAAGTTCCAGATTTTCAAATAATGGGCTAACAACAAAAGAAGGCTGTTTCTAACATGACAGTTGTCCAAATCAAAATCTATATAGCACTAAGGGTCTATCTTAGATAGTGTTATGTGTTTCACAAACCCTTCGCCCTCAAAGGCGCAATTTTGAACATGACTAAAATGAAAGATGTATTACATCAAAATTAAGTATAGATTATTTGAATGTCACTCTCCAATTAGGTAAAAAGCCAACCTAACTGACAAGCTGTTAAACATCAAGCTTCTTCTCACTACTCATTTTGATAAATAAGACACAAAATATTACAGATTATATGCAGTACTCCAAACCCCTCTACTTTTCTCAAGTTTCGTGGACTTCACTATTGCTATACAGGAATTATTTTCCAGCCAAACCTTGCTTCTACAGATTTTTGTTTGCTAATATTTTGGGGGGGAAAGTCCTAAGGCGTCTTATTTATGGCTATGCATCCAAGCAACACCTTCCCTTTCATCTGAGAGGTCGAAATATAACCCAAAGGAATGAGGGAAGGCTACTGGCCTCTCCAAAATCTAAAAAATGTAACTTGTCACGGCTGATTCAAAAAGAAACAGTTGTTAACCCCGAAAGCAAGTCCTATGTGCTTCTTTCTTTCCCAGTATGTTAAGCATAAACTGAAACAATTGACAATTCAGAAACTGGCAGCCATAAACTTAAATAAAGTATCATTACCCCGGCACAGATCATTTCCTATTCGCTAATTGAAGCCAAAAACAAAAAGCAAGCATCAGAGCTTAAGAATAAACAGTCAAACCCCTTTTTCTTTATTTAATTTAAAACAACGAACCCAATTGCAAAGTAAAAGCTCTTTCAAAAACCATATCATAAAAAATTGAATCAAACAATGAGCAAAAACTATGTAGATCTATCTATACACTAATTCAATACCCAGCTTCAAAGAATGTGAAGGAAAATTAAATAAAAATCATAATCTTCTTAGTCTCTGTAAAGAACCGAAATTTCACAAAGAACCCGCCTCAACAGTAATTATTTACACCTAAACATTGATGGTCGAAAAACAAAATGGAAAGAGAGTATCTTCATACATAGCTTCACCAGAATTTGATTCTACAAACACTACCAAACCAAATGACTGTATACATATAAGTTAAAACAATTCATTTACTGATAGAAATCACAGCAAACACAAAAAAACAAAAACAAAGCCAAAGAGAAAGAGAAAGAGAAATCAGTATTATAAAGCCATGACAACACAAACCCATGAAAAATATTCAAATAAAAGAACTAAAGAGAAAACATAACTAATAAAAAGAAAGAGAAATACCAGAAGTAGGCTGAGGACTCTGGGTGGAATCTACTCTAGCTGAAGAACGTAGACAGTTGCCCATAACTTAACTAACTGACAAATATTATAAAATAAAATAAAAATTTGCTAGTTCTGGTGATATTAACTAATCAAAGAAGTTATGATAATAAGTAAAGTCCTCGAAGAAGTAGGATTGTGAAAGGAAAAGAAAACGTATAGTTTGGAGGGTCAAGCGGGAGTCTTTACACAAGAAAAATGAAGACAAGTATATATGGATGTAAGTAAATGGAAATAGATAAGAAGGAGCAAGGAACATGAAGAAGAAGAAGAAGAAGAAGAAGAGGAGGAGGAGGAGGAGGAGGATGTGGGTTTTATTTTGTTTATATGCGTCTTCCGCGTAGAGACTTGCGGGGGAGTTTGGGCCCTGGATGACTTTGGCTGCCACCAACACTCCCCTGCCCTTGACTCGGTTAACTCTTCATTTCACTTTCATCTCCTTTATTTATACTTTTCTCTCTCCCCTTTTTTTCTTTTAATTTGTTTTAATAACGCTTAAAATTCAAATAATTATAAATATCTTTTCAAGATCAACTTTTATATTTATTTTAATATTTTTTAACCTTTGAATTTCAGTTTTGTAAATAGATTTTCTAACTTCATCTATATCTTAAATGGTAAGTTAACTTCGTCAATTTTAATATATATGTAATTCTCTAGTACTACAATTATATTATGGGTGCTTTTGGATATGAGACATATAAGATAATAGGGTAATCTTCGTTTATTTTACAAGATTTCGGTGTTTGACTTGCAAATAATAAAACAACAATGCTACAGACACCAAGGTTTTTACACCGAAACTTTGTGCCAGTCTACGTGTCTCCTGACTCAGACCATTCAACACATTTAACGTTATTAAAAAAAATTTTAAAATATAAAAATTTGAAAAAAAATCTGGATTGGACAGGCGTCCATTTGGCCATCCATTGTGTAATGGACGCCCGTCCATAAGGAATGGACGATCGTCCTTTTTTTTTTTTTTGGACGGGCGTCCCTACTCTAATTAAAAAGCTTCAAGCTTCAAGTTCTAACTTCTCATCTTCCATAACCTTCTGCAACTCACCCGACGTTGTTTCAAAGCTCATAACCAATGGCTTCTTCTATGCCTTCCTCTACTTCTTCTTTCTCTACTTCTTCTTTCTCTACAGTTTTTCATACTTTCGCACAACCCAAAACCCAGGAAAAGTTATGGATTGCAAAGAGAACCCATGCTGCAAAAAGGCAGATTTAGATGACCCAAGTAAAGATTTGATTGAGGGAGTCAATGAAGAAGCCATGGAAGGCCATGAAGAAGAAGAAGTGGCGTCAAAAAAGCACATGGGTTGTGCGAAAGCGTGAAAGACATTTTTTTTTTTTAATATATATATATTAGTTATAGCATTTTTGGCTTCCTAGCGAGAAAAGAAGCTTCACCTATTTTGGTGCAATTTTTTCGATGGATATAGCATTTTTTATAATAAAATATTACGAAAGTCTTTTATTGTAAATAGTGTTTACTGTTAGTAATGTTGGGGGTAATCCGATACCCTCCCTCTGGGATTAAAACATTACCGGGTAATCTTATTTTTTTACTTATTTTGCCCTTAATTAAATGTCATTTCAGACACAATTGTCCTTAAATGTCTACCAAATAATAATTACTCAACCCCCTACATTTGAGAAATTAGCTATAATACCCGAGCGACAAAAAATGTTAAAAGTTAACAAAATACCCCCAACCACCCATAACCACTGCTGACTGTTACTCACCACCACGGCCCATCGACGTCATTCGCTGTAATGGTGCACGACTGGCAAGATTTGGTCAGTTGTGCGCCGGTAAGGCCTTTTCCATGATCCATGGCAGCAAACGGCCAAATCTATCATTTTCATGGTCGTTTCACAGCCAAAGATATAGCCGTGAAATGGCCATAGATGTGACCATGAAACGACCATAGATTTGTGATCCATGGCCAAAAATGGCTTTGTCGACACACGGTCGTTCATATACAACCAGTCATGTGTCATTTCGTCGACTGCCAGTGGCAGTTGACAGTGGCTTGGGGTGGGGTGGGTGGGGATGATTTTGTTACAAATTAAAGTTTTATACGGTTTGGGTGTTTTAACAAAAGTTCAAATGTAGGGAGTTAAAAGAAATTATTTAAAAAAATAATAATAAAAAATACTATTATATTAATATTTAAAAATGAGAGCAATTTAGTAATCTATATAACATACTCACTCATTTATCCTCCCAACCAAACATGTTATTCACCAATTTATTCGAACCAACTAAACACATTTTCTAAACATTCCTAGTAATTTTCAAGATGATCTATCTTTTTGTTAATGTAATATCCTCCTATAATAAAATATTATATAATCCAAACATCTCTACTATTAAGGTTATTGTAGTTGGACAAATAAATCTAAAAAAAAAAAAAAAATTATATTTATTAGAATATTGAATATAATGCAATATAAATTTAATAAGTGGCGTAGGTAACTTACATACGAAACAACATAAATTTAGTGATTCTGACATGGAATAACTTTACATGTGTGATTTATATAAAGTAGTTCTTCCAATACTCTATGGATTTTTAGTGCCATTCCAATTATTCCTTTGATTGGATAACTCTATCAAATGAAGGCATCCTATTTGTAAGCCAACTTAAGATGGATTCCTTAGATTTTAATATGGGTATTTGCAATAAAAACTTCTGATTCTCGAAAAAGAAAAAGTCAATATCAAATTTCAAATTTCAAATTAAATATAATAATAATATATTTGGGTTTTCCTTGAGTTAAATTGGTTCGGATGACAACAAAAATAAAATTAATTGAACTTATTGGGGCGGTGTACTAAATCAAATCATTTGCTTCACTTAGAATTTACACATACTAGGTTGAACAATCTCGTTGACCAAGTGATGAAATGTATTTATCATACATGTGCTTATTACATTCTTTTGACTCAAGTATTGTAGTTCTTTCACACTTTTATTTACAACAATGACAATTATTTACTTTAAGAGTAATATTACGTCCACAATCTATTCTCATAAACTTCTCTTACAACTCCGACATGACAACTGAGTTGGCACTGTCACATCAACTCTACCACACTCAAGGCACTAAATGATTTTGATTAAACTTTAAAACGATCGTTTCTTCATAGGAAACGATCGTTCCTTAGTTAAGGAATAGTCATTCCTCACGGAAGGAATGGATTTTCCTCTCTAAGGAACGACCATTCCTTCCCTACGAAACGATCGTTCCTTGTTATTTATGAAGGTATGGTCATTCCTTATGAAGGAATGACCATACCTTCATAAATAACAAGGAATGGTCATACCTCCTTAAGGAATGGTCATGTCTTATGAAGGTATGGTCATTCCTTCAATAAGGTATGGTTCCTTATGAAGGAATGGCTGTTCGTTTCTAATAATGCCTTGAGTGTGGTGGGAGTTGACGTGACAGTGTCAATCTAACTATCACGTTAGGGTTGTAAGAATGGGTTGTAAACATAGTGTTTTTCTTACTTTAAAATGACTAAATAACTTTTTCCCATCCAAATAATGGTCTAATGACATTTTCCAACCCACAGACTTTTAAAATACTATTTTACTACCAATTCTGTTAGTAAATTCTGTTTTGAAGAAAGGAAGGATAGCCAAAAGTCTGTTATAAGTAAGGATAGGATAGTCAATTAACAAAACCCTCATCACCCTCACCCGTTTACACCACCAATCATTGGCTCCTCTTACCCTGACACCTAATTTCACCCCCTAATCATTGGAAAACGTCCACTTTTTTTTTTTGGCATACACCTATCTTTTAGACTTGTTTCCGGTCGATTGGCACATTGAAAATTCACCCTTCCACTACCATTGGAACCCCCTTCACCCCCTTCAAAACCCACCATCCAATTGGCTTTCCCCACTCCCCGTTTGTCGTCCAACAGTCGTTTTTTGGGCTCCCACCACTTGCTCGTAAAAATTCCCCAACCAACCTGCCCCTCTCCTACCTGTGAGCTCGGACGCTTGCAACTTGCCCTTGCAAGCTGCTCATAAACCACCTCGCACCGCTTACGATCCCTTCCAACAGCCACGACTGCCACTCCAACGGCCTCTACACCATCCCTACTCACTTTTCTAGCCCTCAATTGACCTAGAACAGCACCCAAACACCTGTCCGCCAACTATTCGATAAAACAACCCAACCAACCAAAACACACTCCACCAGGTGGAGGCTAAAAAGAGAGGAGAAGAAGAAAGTAAAGGGTATTTTCCTCTTTACAATGAATATTAATGTATTTAACTAAAATAATTAACTGAATATAATGTTTTGGTAGTAAATGGGGTATTTTAAAATTCTGTGGATGGGAAAATGTCATTAGGCCATTATTTGGGTGGGAAAAAGTTGTTTACTCCTTTAAAATTCTACCAAAATCACTTCTCCAATTTTATTTTATTTTAATTAAACTTCCTTAACATTATTCAAAAATGCATTATTTGGAAATGTATTATTCACACACAGTCAAACTGAAATTGAAAAAAAAATTTACCTCCTTTTAATAAATAAAATTACCAAAACGTCCTAAACTCTAATATTAACCCACCCTATTTCCTCCACAACCCCCACCCCCACCTTCCGAGGCCATCACAATGGCCTCAAAAGAGGTATACACTATAGCCTAAAGTAAAGTTATCATGGCAACCTTCCTTGAAAATATCCTAATTTTCAAACAAAATTTTTAAGTTTCTTTATCATAGTGCTTGTTGGTGGGGGTTACTGTATAGAAGGGCAAAACAATCAAACCACAAATGGGCCAAATCGGCCCATAAGGTAAATTGGACAAGGCACAAAAGCAGGCTCAAAATATGGCTAATAGTAGGCCCAAGGGGTATGCATCCAACCCAAATCCATAAAGAAACCCTCGTGTGGCTTGACACCCGAAAACGAAGTGTTTGACTTGAGCGTCAAAGGGTTAACGCCAATGGCACACCCACTAGCCCTCTTTAACTTGCGTTTGTGTTCGTAAAAATAGATTTGGCGTGTGACATTGGCGTGAAGGCTTCTAGGACTGAAATGCCATGTGTGAAAAGATCATAGACCTAAGCTACACGTCAGAGTTAACAGTGCTAATTATGAAGATATATATAAAACAAATTGATAGGCAGTTGTGTTTCCATTGATGGAGTTAATGGATGATTGTATTTGTGTGGATGGGTGGTGAGTTGTTGGGGCAATGGGGTTACGAGTGTGAGAAATTAAAAGTTAAGGGTTTGACTAAAATTCGGTTAGATGTGTTTTGGTATAAAAAAAAAAATTGTTAAATGACAATTTTAGCAGTAAAAAAATATCAGAAGTTTATCGGAATTAGCATCCAATAGGGATGGGCACGGGGCGGGTCGGAGCTGGAGATTAGGGTCCCCGAATCCGTACCTGCACCCAACTCCTTGGGGGTTTCACCCATCCCCGCCCTGTGGGTATGAGATGTTGTCCATCCCTGACCCGACTCGGAGGTTGGGGAATAGCGGGTTTAATCCCCATGGGGATTCCCCCCGATGAGGATAATCTTGTCAGGGAATTTCCCCCAAATGGCTTATATGAATTTTAAAATATTATATAAAATATCAAGATTGATATTTGATAACTCATAAATCATAATCAATTATTTAATTTAATTACTTTTTTAATGAAAAAGGTTTAAAGAATCAGAAACTGTTAATGTAATTTATGACTAATTAATAAAAATAAAAATCAAGATTGAAGCATCATACATCATTGCATCAAGTCTTAGTGAACCATTGAATAAAAATAAAACAATGTTAATAAAGTTTATGACTAATTAATTGATTAGAAAGACATGATAATAGAATTTGTGTAAAATAAAAAAATGTTAATAAATAAATAATTAATTATTTAATAAAATTGTAATTAAGTAATTAAATTGTATTGAATTAATTGACTAAATTTTAAAATATTATATAGAATATCAAAATTAAATTTCGGGGTGGGGTGGGTTTTCACAAGACAGTTAAGGACAACACGGGTCAAAGTTTTATGGGGCTCTTGGGGGCGAGGCGGGTCCCTGTCGGGGCAAACTGACCCCATACTCGCCTTGTCCCCAACTGCGGGGATTTTTTTTTTTTTTTTTTTTGTTCATCCTCGGCCTCTCACTTATGAAATTCAGGGAATCCCCACCCCCAATTGGGTCGACTCAGGGGGGATCCCCATCGGGGTGGGCGAAATGCCCATCTCTGCCATCCAAGGGTGTAAGTGATAACAATGGGAAAGTTTTATTAAAATAGTAATTTTCACGCCTTAAATCTCAATGTCCCAAAATATTATCTGCGTTGAAACCATATTTTATTTTGTATACATCAATAGACGTCAATCATAATATTATAATTAGAAACTCATTCTTAAATTAGAGAATGAGGTTTGGCTAAGCAGTAAGCAATCAACGTCAACTGGGCAATGAGAAGCATCTAGTTAATATAATATTAAAGACATTGACCTAAAAGGAATTCTTTTCATGTGCCGTCCGTTTTCTCATTATGCTTATGCCATTCCCATTCCATCCCATCCCATGTTTAAGATTTTTAATTATTTCGGTCAATAAATGAATCATTTTTCTGCTTGAAGTTTTCATTGTGAGTGGAAGCGCACTAGCTACACCAATGTCATGGTGCGATGGACTTGACCTGGTCTAAAGCCTAATTCTTCCCCACATTTTACTTCATTAATTAACAAATAACCTTATTTTAAATATACCATTCGAGATTATTCATGCCATTTTGCCAATTTTTAGGTCATGAGATCAACGAATTCTACTATTGCGTATTTTCACACCAACAAAATATACGTAAGCCTTTAAAGAAGTCTATGCAAAGGGTTTATGGAAGATCGAGAAAGGTGAAATATGATGTTGAACTTGTGAGTTTAATGAGAAAATGTGTAAAGAAAATGAAATGCAAAGCAATAAATAACATAATAAACAAGAGCAGGTTTTAAAGTAGTTTAGATGTAATAAGCAATTCTTACACCTATTGTTATCTTTTTGATATCTTTACAACAAAAGTTATTGATTGTAGAGAGAGAAAGTTGATGTATAGCTCTTGAGAAAATAAGATGTTGGGTCCTTGATTTAGAGTAGGAACCCCCTATTTATAGTATTCCATGGTTATATTCGATGTGAAGTAATTTACAAGTAGTTAGATGTGTGACACCGTATTAATTGACTTATAGGTAAAGTAATCCATGTGCGAGTTAACACGTGGCTAGGAAGACAACTTGTAGTCTTAAGGATAAAATACTCCACATGCAGATTGACATGTAGTCTTGAAGAGGCGGTTGACCTTCTTCCCTTTAAAGTTTCACATGACTTCTAAAAGAAGTATCCTCTATGGAGCTAACACGCGTCTTGGTAACAAGACACTTTAGGGGATACATGGTGAAGATTCAGCTTGCCTTCTAAAGGAAGTGGCAATTAGCTTCAATTCTGGGATTATTTTCTCTCAGTCAACTTAATTTNGTGAGTTGACACGTGGCTAGGAAGACAACTTGTAGTCTTAAGGATAAAATACTCCAAGTGCAGATTGACATGTAGTCTTGGAGAGGCGGTTGACCTTCTTCCCTTTAAAGTTTCACGTGACTTCTAAAGGAAGTATCTTCTATGGAGCTAGCACGCGTCCTGGTAACAAGACACCTTAGGGGATACATGGTGAAGATTCAGCTTGCCTTATAAAGGAAGTGGCAATTAGCTTCAATTCTGGGATTATTTTCTCTCAGTCGACTTAATTTTTGGTAATGGAGTTAATTGGTTGTGAGGAAAAGGGCAAATAAGTCCAAATTGAGTTAAAAAAAAAAAAAATAGTTTTAAAGTAGAGTTAACGTAAGGAAAATTTTCATTCTTCAAGGTGGGAAGAGCAAGAATTGAAGAGAAGATATTGGGAGTGGTAACGCGGTTTAGAAGAGAAATTGGAAGGAGAGAGGAGAGGGAGGGGGAAGAGGTGGTTGTATGGTCGTTTTCTGAAGTGACAAGTTGATTCAACCACACCCTCAATCACGGCCAATGTAATTGCTTCCACATCAAACTAAACCATATATCCTAACGTTAACGTGGCTCAAACGTTGTGACCGTTCTTAATGGTTTCACACTCACACACGCCGCATGTGATTTTAAAGTAATACTAAGGTACCAACTTTAAATTTAAATGTGACAAATGTTTGATATTATTTATTTTTTTTTTTTGGCACTAAACATAATTAATGAAATGAAAGGGTTAGATTATTAGAAAACAAATCATTGATTATTTTTTCAATTGATTTAAAAGATATATCTCTAATTAAAAAAGAGTTATTACAATCTTACTGTTTTATATTGTTTATAACCGGCTACTCCACCATTACAAAAACTTTCCTCCTCTTTTAATTGGGCTCGCACATGGGCCTAATTTGTCTTTTCAACACGAGTTTTTTCCTGGGAGAGGGGTCCGCGTCTGTGCAGCTGCAGCCAATCACAAACGCAAGATGAAGTCATTCAATCCAATGAGAAACAGCCGCGTGGAAATTCCACGTAGCTTCGCGCTACTTCCTCTCTTAATAACTCTCCCATTTCACATAAGACTCGCAGTTTGGTGGTTAATAATTCCCACTCCCATCGTTTCTAAATACGGTTATACAAAATCAATTTGTAGATTTAGGTTTTGTTCGCCGGCGACGTCAAATGGAAGCTCATGGTCGTGGTTTCCGGCGAGTCTTGGTGCTAGCATTTTGCGTCGCCGGTATTTGGTCCGCCTATATTTACCAAGGTGTTCTTCAAGAAACTCTGTAAGTCTTTCTTTTCAATCGAATTGACTTTCACTTTGATCTATTATCTATCTTTCATAGATTCAATTTTACGATTTAATTAATTTTAATTTTGAATAGAAATTTCAGCATTGTTCTCGTATCTAAACATTTGTGTTGAACTGTTTAGGTCGACCAAGCGATTTGGTCCAGATGGGAAGAGGTTTGAGCACCTTGCATTCCTCAACTTGGCTCAAAATGTGATCTGTTTGATCTGGTCTTATATAAGTGAGTGGTTTCGTAACTTCCTGTTATCTCTCGCATGCATGTTGTCTACTGTAATTTGAAGCTTAATGGTGAGTTCAGTTTTTAATGTGCCTGATGAATTTAACAGTGATAAAGCTTTGGTCGAAAAACGCCGGCGGTGCTCCTTGGTGGACATATTGGAGTGCTGGCATTACGAATACAATTGGTCCGGCCATGGGTATAGAAGCTTTAAAGTACATAAGTTACCCCGCTCAGGTATGTTCAATTTTCTTTCTCCTTAAATTTATCTTTTACTTCCAGTTTATGTTATGTGTAAATTGGTTATTTCAATGGTGGTATAGATGTATAGTTGATGATGTAAAATATTAGCCTATATGATTTTACCGGATCATGTTTTCCTATCTATTTATTTTGTAAGGACACATACAATTGATATATGGATAAGGCACACATGGCGTCTGTTAATTTGATGTATGGACTCAGTAACATCTTAGAGGCAGGTTATTTTATTGATTTCAAATATTAATTTAATTCTTGTTATATGCAGGTTCTGGCAAAATCCTCTAAAATGATTCCAGGTGAGATATTTAGTCCAGCATTCTTTTTCGCTGGAGCTTTTCAGTAATCGTAAAAATGTAATCATAGTATGTCCTTAATGTTAGCATTGATTCTCGTCATGCTTCACATCATGTTATTTGCAAAGTTACGAGAAATAAGATAGACTCGTTTTTTCCATTGAACGATCTCTGTTTACCAGTTGCTTTCTCTGATCATCTGATGTAATTTCTTGGAGTAGAAGTTGGAAGAAGATTGTTGAGTTTGACCCCACTAAATTATATGTTACTTGAGCTTACTTTTCTGTCACCCTTTCACATATTGATTGCATTAGAGAAACATGGTAAAAAGCTTCTGATTGATATCTAGTTATGAGCTCTAGCTAAGGTGACACAATATGCAAGAGCAAGTCATGGAAATGTCATGATGTTTTAGCAGAGTTAAAACTGAATGGTGTTGTTTTATGATAACAATGCTCTGGCATGCTACCTTTCCATTGTTCTCTCTTTTTTCTCCCTCTTTAATGGGAATGGTATCAATTAAACTAGCTTTTGGGTAATTGAATTAGCTTCAGGTGATACCAATTGACTAGCCTTCAATATTTTGTTCTTGAATCACGCATCCTATGGCATATTCATGGTATAAAATATGCATTTTTTTTTTTGCGTGAGAGAGATTTTGTTAATGGTCATGTTGTGTTCTACTTTTTGGTTGATGGTTGACTTTTTGCACATTTAGAACAAATATTTCTTGTAACTGATGGTTTACATGAATAACTGACAGTATATTTTACTTGCGTGTAGTTATGCTGATGGGTACGCTAGTTTATGGTATACGATATACTTTTCCTGAGTATGTTTGTACTTTGCTTGTTGCTGGAGGAGTATCTATGTTTGCACTCTTGAAGGTGGGAACATATATGTAACAGTATTAGTTTTCTTTCTTTTAACTATACTATCTTTTTTAAATACTGTGCTCTTGCATGCTTGGCACACATGACTTGAGTATATCATTTCTGGTTTTAGTGTGAACTTCTACAAATTTGATCCTAATGTAAACATTTACAAATCTTATCCTAATGTTTCTCTCATGTGTTTATGGATTGATTTTAGACTAGCTCAAAGACTATTAGCAAGCTGGCTCATCCAAATGCACCTCTTGGTTATGGGCTTTGTTTCCTGAACCTTGCATTTGATGGATTTACAAATGCTACTCAGGATTCAATAACTGCTAGGTATGTTTACAATAATTTTTATCTCTGATTGATCGTGGATGATATTGAAGTTGCCTCGCAAATATTTTGCCTTTCTTGCTCCATTGTCAAAGTCTGAACACGATTAAAGAAAAATGCTTGTTGACAGTTTGTCATTTAGCTGATAAGCACTGATGTCTGCCATAAAAAAAACTTTTAAGACACCTAACCTAGTTCATTCATTTTTTTGTCTTCATTCGTTAAATGCTTTAGGTAGTCCAGATGCTAGCTTGTTACTTCTTCCCTCTGCTGTAGCCCTTGTGCATCCCCTGGCAGGATGTGATTTATTTTGAGAGCAGTAGCGGAGCACTTTTTCTTTGTATATTCCTAAGAGTTATGGAAAAGGATGTCTCCTAATTTTTGTGTGAGACGTAGTATTGTTGTTCCAGAATAATAAATTAGGAGACATGTTTTTCCATATTTTTAGTAGTACTATTTTATTGACATATCTGCTATAACAGCTCCTTCTTTTCTTTGTATATTCCCTTAATTTTTTTGGATGAAATAAAATCTAATGCTCCTATATTCCCCTTTATCTGTTTGGTTGTCTGCTTAGGTATCCAAAGACAAGTGCTTGGGATATAATGTTGGGAATGAATCTATGGGGTACAATATACAATATGATCTACATGTTTGGTTGGCCGCATGCTAGCGGATTTGAGGCCATTCAGTTCTGCAAGCAGCATCCAGAGGCAGCCTGGGACATATTTTTCTATTGCCTCTGCGGTGCAGTGGGGCAGAATTTCATCTTTCTAACTATAAGCCGATTTGGCTCCCTCACTAACACCACCATCACCACAACCCGCAAGTTTGTGAGCATTGTGGTGTCTTCTCTGCTTAGTGGGAATCCCTTGTCATCAAAGCAATGGGGGTGTGTATTCATGGTGTTCTCTGGATTGTCATACCAGATATACTTGAAGTGGAAGAAGTTGCAGAGATCGCAGAAGAAGAGAAAGCCCATGTGAAGAGAAGAGGGACTAACAATTTTGAACTTTATATTTAACTTTACCACCTTTTTTTTTTTTTTTTCATCTTTCTTGACATATGATCATAGTAACCATAAGGTTCAATGATTCCAAATTTGATAATACCTAGAAAATTGCTGAATGTATTTTAGTATATTTTGAAGTTTATGAGAAATAGATTTCAAGTCTTACGCTAGACCAAAAAACTACTGTCTTAGAATTTGATTCAATGTCTTGAACACATTTTAATAACAATATACTTTTTGTAGTGAAGACTTGTAATGTATAAAATCTCTGATTCGGATTTAACGGCAAGGGTAGAAAGTAGAGAAACACATATTCTGTTCTTTAAAACGGTATATTTGAAAAGTTAATTAAAATTGAAGGTTGTTTTGGATATCTGACCTTCTTGCTAATTATAGGTAGTACATTACAAGGAAATATGAGCAATTGTTTCTGTAAGTGCAGACAAAACTTTTCACTGCAGTAATTGCGCAATTGGAAAAACAGCATCAAGAGGCCAAGAAATTTATCTGCCTTGGCCTAGCTTTAGTCAATAGTCATTGCAACACTCCAATAGTCGCAAATAAAAAATGTGGTTTCAAGGTGTTATGAAACAAATATGCCGCACCAGATCTGCTACCAAAAATTAGAGCATCAATTTTTAGTAATGTTTATGTACAAGCACTGAGCTGGTGGTTGGCCCTAAGTCCTAACTAATTGTGGAAAAACCCATTGATTTTTTATGGGTCAAATCACTGTGGCCAACTGGATGAATCATTGGTTAGGACTACGTGGGGTCAAGATTTTTAGGCTTTTATTTGATGTTAGCATGGTCAAAACAGTCAAACCAATACGTGCACTTTATTTTGTATCACCTTCCCTCCCATTCTTCATACTTTAACCCATAGCTTTAAGCTTTTTGCTTTGATCATAATCATATTTGTCTTCCACCACCATCCTTCCTAGTAAATAACACTCTTCTTCACCCTTTCAATTCTTCTCCACAACTGGTAGAGGCCAAAGCAAGAAGAAGAAGAAGATACCCATCAACAAACAAATTCTTTTCTAACCTCTCTTCTGTAAGTAAACTGTTTTGCTTCTTTCAATTTCTCATTTCTTTTCTTTTCTTTTCTTTTCTTTCAATAAATCTGCTTCGTATAACTTGTTTTCTGATGAAATGAAAGAAAATGCAGTGAAATGTGCTTCCCACATCAACTGCTTTCCTGCATTTTCTTCTCAATTCAGTTTCATGCTTATGCGAGTGCATCTTGTTGCATTTTCTGCTGTCAAGTTATCACAAATTACAATGCATTGATTCAAACAAAGGTCAAGTAGATAGTAGAAGTATACACGCCAAAGCCAAAACAGATTTGCACACTAATAATATCAAATTACATTACATTAGAAATCAAGGAAATGAAACAAAAATATATTAGGCAGAAACTTATTCTATACCCTTTGCACACCAAAAAAACAACAAATACGAATCCGATCAACTGGTTAAACTTCTTTACTTGTTTTTCTGCATCTGTTTCTTTAATCATATCTAGGCGAGGTGCCGATGTATAATTACACTGACTAGGGGTTTATTTAGCAGGTTCTGTACAAATGACAAATCAAGGCCAAAAACTGGATTGGAAGAAGGTATGCCCGAAACCAATCACATGAGAAGACAAACAAAAGAATGACACACATTATAAAAACCCACGGGGATTTTAGAGAGTATTAGGGTACTCCTCTGCTAGGGAAATGAAAGAGAAAATTTAAGAAAAAAAGTGAAATGGACTCAGAACATGTTAGATGTTTCTGAGAGTCCAGAATGCTCAACAACATTCTAGACTACGGGTCTTGGAATGCAGATCTTGTATAAGCCTAGTTGTAAAATTTTAGGCTGAGATGGCTGCAATCCTAGGAAACTGAATTCAAACAAGAGAAAGCAAAAAAACTCAATATATGCTATACTCCCCCTAGGGATCAAAGATGAGATATAATTGTTTAGATTTAGACCATTTAGATTTTTGTAAGTGAGTGGATCAGAGAAGATGGTTATAGACTTTGGAGAAGAGCTCTTTTGCAGGGAGGTGGTTGTACAGGATTGGTGCTTGGATTGGGGGAAGGGGACTCAATTCCAAGTGTTCTTAGTAGGAAATTCCGCTCCTGTAAATGCAGGAAAAATTAAATTGGTGAGCCTCACATCATAATCTGATATATGCATACAAGTAGATATAAAGAAGCATACTTATATCTAAATTGTTATCGGGAACTTCAATAGAGTTCTGCTTTTATCTTAACAAGCCCACAAGAGCAAAGAAAGACAAAAAGGTGAAATAGGATTGACAAGGAAGAAGAAAATGATGGAAATTTCTGATTCCACTGATGTGGTAGAGACTGCTTAGAGGGATGGACCACCATGAGCTACCTTGGAATATCTTTTGTGTTTAAATAACACCATCATGGAAGGAGAAAATAGGCTGTAAACAAGTAAGCAATCTCCTAGTTTCATGTTGTAGAATTGTTCAGGTGGTTTTGTACTTATTGTTTTTCTTAAAAAAAAAAAAAGAAAAAAAGCAACACCTAAGATGTCTGCTTGACATAAATTTCAGTGAAAACAAAAAAAATATGCAGCCTCTTAGTTTCACTTTATCAAGAAAAGCAGTCTGATAAAAATCAGGTGACCTCACGGACCCAACATTAGGGGAAGAATGATTGTTGACTTAGTAGTGATGACACCTAAGTTCCACTCCTTCGGCAGTTTTGCAGTCATTCAACCGTTAATATTTTTCTGATCCTAACATAAATACTCATTCTTAATGTGTTGCATTTATTCCATGCAGGAAAAGCTGTTTCCTTATTAGAGGTTAATAACTGTAAATTTTAGACATACGGCTAACATGGTTAATAAACAATATGAGTGAAGCCAAAGTCACTGATGAAGATTCTGGAAAGAAACCCTATTGGTACTTAGGTCCTACCGCCACTAAGAATTCTGCTTTAAGTTCAATAGTTGTTAACTTCATGATTTTATCACTTTACTGCCACTAATTATATCTGGTAGAACCAATGGTTTAAGTTTACTTACACTTTCTGAGAATTTTGGGCTGGGGATTCCTGCTGCTAAGGATCTGAATATTGGGGTAACCTGGAGGGGGGAACTAAACTCTGTACATGATGAGACAGAGACAACTCCGTTGTTGTTTGTGTCTTCACCACCAGGGGGAAATAACTCCACTGCAATAAATTTAAACACTTCAGAAACTCCGAATGCTACTCCACACTAGAAAACAATATAGCTTATCCCTCTGCGTCCAATAGAAAATTTATTACCTTCATTTGTGTTTGCACTCCCTTTATTTTGTTCTCCAAAGCAATTTTGCTCTCCAATATGAATTGATTGTAATTCAGCTCCAATATCCTGATGCAATGTGTCTACCTCAGCTTGAATTTGATCTGGTTTATCACTGACTGGACGAGGAATTAGAGTTGATCCAGTACTGTATTCAGAGCTGGCTGGAGAGTCCTCATATAGATCTGGTTGCCTGTGAAATATCAACAGCCAATTATAAATGGCATGCTGCATAAAGCCTGCTTAGACCTAGATGTCAGTATAGCTTAGTTTTATTACCTCCAGGATGGATGACTTTCCTCATTACTACTTCTTAAGTCCTCTATCAAGTCTTTAAAATCTTCAAATTGAAAATCGATATCAGAGATAGTATATCTTAGGATATCATTTTCTTTGCTTCGGTTCAGGAAATCTTGAAGAACCTGAATGCATATCAATAAATATTAGAAGCCATGCAAAATTTGTGCATCATTAAAATTGAGCTGTGGAGAGGAATTCTAAGGTACTATAGTACGGAAGATGCTATGAATAGTTTGCTTTTATGGCTGCATGAGAGCATCAATAGAATTAGCTAAGCCTTTCTGCTTAAATGTATAGTTCTAGTTGGATTAGACAATAATTAAGGGATCTTAAAACGAAACCAATTTAAATTGGTGGCACTGATCTCTACCCTAGCGAAATGATCTGGGAACGGAACTAACTATTAATCCAAAAAATGCAACCAATTATATTTTGTTGTCGGTAGACCAATCATAGACGGGACAATGTATGATGTTGATAAAGCTGAAGAAAATTCAATATTATTTCTTACCTTCCAAGCATTTTCCAAACTCTGTTCTGTGTTCTCTGTATTAACTTTCAGTGCAAGTGAGCTAAGAAGTTCTGCTTGTTGCATCAAAGCAGTTATCTTTGGGTCATCCTTTTTAAGAAACATTCCTTGAGTCTTATTGTTCTGAGCTGCTACAGGATCAGAAAAAAGGAGTGATTTTAATTTTCTAACGCTTCTAATATGTCAGTGAAAACACCTAAAAAAAAAAGTGGCGAACATAATGTTGCCCCTGAGATTGACTGTTGGAGTCCCATGGTCATGTTTACAGTTCTTTTCTCCCCTCCTATAAATGTGCCTTCCAGGTTTTACTAAACCAATCTTATTGATTAATTTTTTTCAAAAGTTTTGTCCAGCAGTGATTTACCATTATTGGAAGCCTCCTTAATATCACAATGCTGGGCTGGCAAGCTGTTGACACTGGGTAAGTTCTGAACCAACACTGTAAATGGAGGTCTTAACTGCGGATTCATTGTTGTTCCAGATTGCCTATGTGATCTGTTTGCAATGTTGCAGCTTTCTGCGAGATCAGGGATGTGCGACCTTCTGAATTGGAACAGAGAAGTAGTTTTAATTAGTATATGAACAAAACTGAATTCTAATTTTTCACAAACCTATTTCTTAAATGCAATGCAATTTATACTCCATTACCTAACTCTCTTAACGGGTGCTGTATTTTCTGGTGTTCCATCTGCATTGAACCCATTTTGGAATAAAACTCTCTTGTTGTTTGGGTTCATGTATGAATGGTTATTCTCTTTAGCTAAAGCTTCATATTTTGCTCTCTTCTTGCACAATGTGGAAAACCGGTTCTTCACAGCATTATCAGTTCTGCATAACCCGAAATGGAATTAACAACAATCAGTTAATTACTGAGATAATCTAAGTTCACAGAAGGGGATTAGAAAACATTTTTCTTAAAAAAAAATAAAAAATAAAAAATATTTTGTACCTCCCAGAAACCACCTTGGCTATTTCTGTCCATCTGTTACCAAATATCTTCTGGGCCTGCAGATCTCCTTAAGTTATGAGATGACTGAATGATGAAATAACAGTTATCTAAACTCAAATGTGGTGGGTTATTTTCTGCTCAACTTTTGAGAGACAGGAAGAACAGCAATTAGTTATAAGTATGGCCTACTTTGATTAAAAAAAAAAAAAAAAACAATATCTACCAACAAGACATGTAATAAGCGAAAAGAAAGTAAATCTAAGAGATGAAGTTTTGAAAAAGTTTCGCAATTATTATTGAACTAACCTTATCCTAGATTATTGAATAACAATTACCTCACATAAGAGCATATCTTCCTCCGGTGACCATCCCCCTTTCTTGAAATCCGAGTTCAAGTATGTGTACCATCTGCCATTTCAGTTTTTCACCAACATCAGATTAATTTCATAACCCATTAAAATTTCTTTATCAGCTTAAGAAAAAAAAAATAAAGGGAAAAACAAATTATTATGATTTCACCAACCTTCTTCTACACTGTCTCGTTGTTTTATCTTTGAATTTAGATGCAATAATTGACCAACTGCATACAAATATCACAAACCAAAACGCTTCATTAGAAATAAAAACTAATAAATAAATAAACATCTTGAAAAACAAAAATCCTTACTTCTCAGTTCCATGTACACTAATCTGCTCCCGCAGTATATCATCTTCCTGCAAAATCGCAGAAACCCAGAAAAGAAAGCCCATCAAGAAAAACAAATATCAATCTATTTATCAAAGAAACTCTATTTAGATCAAGAACGGAACTTAACCTATAATATTCAAATAAAAGAAAAAAGAAAAAAAATAAATAAAAAGAAAAAGAAGAAAACCTGTTGACTCCACGTAACAATATGCCGTTCCTTCTTCTTGGAATCTTCATTGGCACCTCCACTCTTCTTCATGGTTTCTTGCATTGTTTTACTCAGTTTGTGTTTCTATTGTTGGACGCTCCTCCCTTTATTAAAACCAATACACGCATGCTAAAGCTAACTCTTTACGCACACCCTTATAAAATAAAAATTTTATCTTCAAAAAGGGACTCAACTCATTTTTATTTTATTTTTTTGGGGAGGGGTCTTTACAGATACTGTTTGGTTCAAACGGAACCGTAATAAGCTCTCGAGAACTCTATGCCTCGGATTCTAAACTTTTAAAAACCTCAACTTTGATCTTATTCTCTCTATGCTTCACTTCAGTCACTACGACCACTATAAATGGCAATAACCACATTGGGTGGATGCTTATTCTTGATCTCGATATTCGAGGAATGGGTTTGGGTTGAATACGTAGTAAAGGCCAGGTAGATCTAAGAAAATACAATGAAAAGAAAAAAGGAAGATTTGAGAAAGAAGAAAGAAGGGGGGGAGAAAGAAAATGATGAGAGTGTAGAGATTGGAACTTGTTTTGTTAGACGTTGATGGGTGAATCAGTGAGTGAATGATTTTGTTTTTGTTGTCTGAGTCTGTTTCAAATCCACTGTGTGATGTATTTCTCCCTCCTCCGATTTAAAAAATAATAATAATAATTTAAATCAACGGATTCTTGCTTTAGTGCGCGGGTATGAAGGGCAGTTTGAATATAACGCTGAATTCCATGTCCTCTCCTCTCTATTTAATTAACTCATACTCATACTCCTTTTTTTTTTTTTTTTTTTTTTATAAAATCACAAAAAATTAAATAACACATGATGCACTTCGTGACCTAACTAATTCAATGCTCAACCTCAAATAAAACGCTCGGTCCCATTGGTTCAGAAGTAGTTTTTTTTTTTTTGATTGGAGCGTGGAGGCCACGCGACTTTTGATGGATTTGAACTTAGTAGTGGCACTGGCATGAAATGAATGGCTGTTCTACTTGTACTATTCAAATTTCAATATGATTTTATCCAATTTTCAAGATCACTACCCTGTCACTTTTATATTGGAGAAAATGTAGAACTTGAGATTGTGACATAACTCAATGCGTTTAATTATCAATATAAGTGGTTTTTTTTTTTTTTAATATAAAAATTATGAAATATATTTTTAATTCCTTTATTATGATATACAGTGTATTTACCATGCTTCTTGTACTTTTGGTTGCACTAATTATTTCAACTCTTTAAACATGTAATATATTTTTAATTCCTTTATTATATATTTAATCTCTTACATGATTTTACTATATATATAGTTAATTATCTAAGTATTTCATTTTTTTAATTAAAAGTTAAATTATTTTCATAAATAATTTATCAATTAACTCATAATTATATTTTTTTTTAGTTTAATTTCTAGCTATTCTTTTAATATTTATCAAATTTTTTTGTTTAACTATATATTGAGTATTTAATTAAGTTAATCAAATAAATAAATGAAATTATAGTATAAATTATTTTTTTTTAGACATTGATTATTCATTTAAGTAGTTTACTATTTGTAGCCATAGCTAATTAATTAATTAAAGACTAATGCTATTTAATCATTAGTTGATTAGTTAGTTAGATAAATCTTATTATCTAAATTAATTAATTAAATTGAATTTTTAAATTTTCAAATTAAACATTTTATTATATTTATTGATATGTTATTATTTAATTATGTCAATTGATTTTTTAATATTCAAAGGAATATAACGACAATAGAAATAATATAGGCCTATGGGTCAATATTCGTTGTATTGGACTGTATTAAAAGTTTTAGTACAATTAAATTGAAAAAATATGCAAAACATGTGTCAAATTTCAATAAATATGCCAAAAATGCGTTAAATTTCAATTAGGACAATGTCCTAAAATAGTATTTTCCGATATTATGTGGTACCACATTATATCAAAAAGTTCTTAGACAATGAGATGATAAATAATCCATATATTAAGCATTGAAATTATTATGGAAGTTAAAAAAAAGGTACAAAAATTCAAAGTAGATTGTTTAACAAAAGTCAAATTTTATGGCTAACTTAATTTGGTGGCATACATTTGTCAAATATTTGGCATTTAGTATTACAATAAGAAATAAAACAGAATGCAAAGATTCATTAATTGATTAGCAGAAAGAGGCACAGGCACCCCACAAATTGAAACACTCATGCCCAAGTCTTTATCGCAGGTAGCCACTATCCTTTCCCTTATCAAACTTCCCCAAACCTACCAATTTTTATTAGAATCTTTGTTATTAATTCAATCTGGTGGGTCTCACGTAGCCGCCCATTAATATTATTGAACTTTTAAATTAAGATATCCGATAAACCTAACATTCATAGTTTCTATTCATTCATTACAATTTTATTGGATAAGTTGTCTACGAAACCCTACACTTCTTGCACACTTTGAATACTATAACGGGGAAGTATTATAGAATACCTTTTCAAATTTATCACTCCCACGCTTTTACACTTTTATATTAGCTGAACCCTCAAAATCTATCATAAATTTTCATTTACTCTTTTATCATTAGTGCTATTACGCCACAACCAAAGATACTCAATCAACATACATCGGGATTGGATAGAATATTCACGTAATTAAGAATAATCAGAGTTGAAAAACAATAATGGAATAACAAAAACCGATTTTTAAACAAGTATGAATCAAGGCTAAGTTTATTTGCACGAATGCTATCTTATAGTACTTTCTCATAAAATCAAAGGGATAATTGTGATAAGAGTTGCAGAGCGTAAAACTAATGTTTTGAATGATAAATTAGAAAACTGTACATGATATTTTCCTATACTATTTATGTAATGATACTCACTTAACTAAAACGGTTTAAGCTGCCACGTGGATGAATTGAATATTGTATAACTTTTGAAATGTGTGAAATAGTGGAGCCCATGCCAACGCCATAAAATAAAACTACAAATATGAGCATCTCATTCTGATTTCCCGCCAAAAAGGAGGGTTGGTTTGATTAACATAAAAACCTCATTTTAATTGCATTTTGTATCTTATTTGATGTCATCCGGTCTTTACTGGAATGATGCGTAAATATAGCATCCAAAGCTTCACTAATACTATACTAAATCACCTCGAACTTATCAGTATTATGATAAATGTGGAATTGAAGATTTCTCAACATATATGTATGAGGTTGAATGGGGAGAGGGAATCTAAAAATGTGGAAAAAAACGACAATAGAGAAGGAGTCGGTGATGTTTGTCCCACAAGCAGCCATCAAAGAGGAAGACGACCCAGAAAAAGATCAACCAAGTGGAACCCTATGCAAAAGTTAAATTACTAGAGTATACACTCTTTATTCTTTTTAACTTTTAAAAGCTTTCAAAAAAAAATCCACGAAAGGTATAAATACCCTCTTATTTTCAAAAAGATCAATCCCACCCATTATGCCTTAATTTTGTCATTTTTCGGCTCTTGATTGAGGGTGAATATTAATATATCAATTTTGGTCATTTACATCTCTTGTTTTTATCCTCAACCATCTTCAACACTAATCTTGTACCATTGGTCGGGTCCCATTTAATAGGAATTAAAACTAAGTCCAATGTTTTATTTAATTCCTAGACTATAGATTATAATCATTCTTTGTCAGGGCAAGTGATACACTAATCAAATTTCATATTGATTTTAGAACAAATATGGCCAGGAAGATCTTTTTCTATTTGAATTGGATTATAATAGAGTTGAATGTTGGGCAGGAGAAATTATACCAAGCTTAAGATATTAATTGCACTTCCAAATTAAAGGAATTGATTGAGGGCAGGCTGATAGATTTTGGTGTATATATATATATTGGCATTGGCCTTTTTCCACCTCCACAATGGAATTAAAGAAAGAAAATTGTTGAAAAAACATATCCTTGTTTTAGCGTCTTAATGGTAATAATTAGTGGGTGATGATTCATATTAAATTGCCCATTTAAGTGAATAGAAGACATGCAATAATATCAATTGCGCTCCCTTACCCTTTTTTTTTTTTTTTTAATGAAAAAGAAAAAGAATTAAAGAAAAACAGATGGTGGTGGTGGGAGGCCCAAGTTCCCAAAGAGATTGATAATTGATGAGATGTTGTGGGGCTTATTAATCTTCTTTTCATAAAACTCTTTAGTTTTATTATTATTATTGTTATAGCAATTAGTAAGAAGAGCGGTCACTCTGTCAATTACAACGCGCCATGTGGCTCCGCTCTCTCATCATAAAAACCTTTTTTCTGTGAAAAATAATAGGGAAAATACACGTGGGCCTTTTTAGTATTACCATTCTCAAAACAAAATCATTACCTACTTAATATTCAATGGCCTTGCTCTAAGTCTAGATACTACATTTTTATTTCTTTTAAGTTTTCCCTTTTGCCTAAAAAAACTAAGGATGTTGAATTATATGCGATTATTTCAATATATACAAATATATCCCAATTGCCCTTGAGGTGAAAAATTTATATACTTTTGTGAACCCTTTAATGACGATATATCAATTATGACTAGTTGATAAATCCAATTGGTTTTCAATTGTTAAAGAAAGAAAGAGTGAGAAAAGTAAAGGAAAAAAGATAGTCTAGAACCAACTTTAGTAAAAAAATTTCTAGTTTATATTTAAAGAAAATGTTTTAGGGAAAAGAATTGAAAATTGTCTAGGTCAACTTTATTAGGCGAGCTGCCTTTTCAATAGAATACAATGAAAAACTTGTTTAATTTAGAGCTAAGTACATGGTAATTTTGTCTTGTTGTTTGTGCATTGTCCCATAATTAAGCTATTTACAAAATCTAATCAAACTTGCTTTTCTCTCTAAGGGCAGGGCCCCAAACGAGGGATTTGCTTTTATCTTTTCCTCTAAATCAAGTTGAATTTATCAAAAAGAGAACAACAAGGTCCGAAAGGAAGGCAGAAAAAATCATTGAAATTCTACTTTAAACGGTTTTCTACATATTTATTTTTCTTTTAAATTTCTAGTGTGTGTATAAATATGAAAAAAAAAAAAAAAGGTAGTCAGTATATAAATTATAGAAGATTTTTGTTTTTGACTAATAGTTACATATTATAATTTGTTCTTGTTAATTAAGAATCGTATCTTTGTTTCATTTCTGTCTTCAATAACTAATTATCATTGATTGCACCTCACCAAATCTATAGCAATATATTTCAAATAATGCATCATCATTAATGAAATCAAAATCCAAGGGTTGATGGTGGTGGGGGTGGATATATATAACAATAAGGTAGGAAGTTGTTGTTGAAGGCATAATTTTGGAGTGAAATGACAAATGTTGTAGTTAGTTTTTGTAAAAGAGTGGGAAAATATTCCTATGATCCCATGAAAAAGGACCCACGTGTGGAACAAAATTTGGAGCATATGCAGCACTATATATTTTAATTAGCTTTATGTGAATGTTGCTTGGGATTCCTACGTGGGCACCATCTCCATCCTTTTGATATTACAGCCGATTAACTTTTCAAAGTCTAGGCACATATATTCACTTCACTTCCTATCTT